AAATTAATTTCAAAAATCAAAATTTTTTTGCAATTTTCTTTTTTTTATTCATTTATTTTGAAACTAATTTTAAAAAAGCAAAAGTAATTTTTAAAGTTTAGAAATGATTTACAAGTTTAATTTTTTAAAAGTCTTTTTCACTTGTAAATTTTTATATCCAAGAATACTCTCTCTCTCTCTCTCTCTCTTTTAATATGGCACACGAAGGTGGAAAACGTTTAAAAGAAACTTTAAAAAGAAGTCGAAAATGCTCTCTCTCTCTCTTCGTTTTTAGATAAAAAAGAATTCTCTCTGGTTTGCCCCCCCCCTCTCTTTTTTTCAATTGTCGTCTTCTTGAAAAACGAATTTAATGGAATCGAATCGTATAAGAATTTGGTTTTCTTCACTTCTACTGTAATAGAATAACTTGATTTCCATTTGGAAACAAAGATGGTGGCGCTTATATACGCTTCATGGAATTTTTCTTGTTTCGAGTGTCAGTAACTCTCTTTTCTTATATGGATTATTTAAAACTTTTCCCTAAAAAAAAAAGAGAAAAAAAAAAACTTTTTTAACACCTTTTTCACATTTGACTTTACTGACAAAAAAAAAAGAACTGTCCATCACTATCCAAAAATTCACTATATTTTTTTTTAAAAGAATCAAATTTATTTTTACATCTTTTCATAAAAAACAGAAAGAAATACCTTTTTTCAGAATAAAATTATATTATTTTCTATTTTTATAATTTTTCAAATAATTAAATTTTTCCTATTTTTATAAAAAATAAGAAATAATACCCACTTGGAAAGATTCCCCGAAAAGTGACCCCTGGGGGTTCTAACAGAATTTCACCGGAACTTCCAACGTAATTCCGTCGGAATTCCATCGGAGTTCCAAAGAATTTCCAATGGGATTCCGGTGGGATTCCGATTAATTTAAAAAAAAATTAGAGTCCTAATTCCGTCGGAATTCCACCGGAATCCCATCGGAAATTCTTTGGAACTCCGATGGAATTCCGATTAATTTTTACAAAATTTTTAGAGTCCTAATTCCGTCGGAATTCCACCGGAATCCCATCAAAAATTCTTTGGAACTCCGATGGAATTCCGACGGAATTACGTTGGAAGTTCCGACGGAATTCCGATTAATTTTTACAAAATTTTTAGAGTCCTAATTCCGTCGGGATTCCACCGGAATCCCATCAAAAATTCTTTGGAACTCCCATGGAATTCCGACGGAATTACGTTGGAAGTTCCGACGGAATTCCGATTAATTTTTACAAAATTTTTAGAGTCCTAATTCCGTCGGGATTCCACCGGAATCCCATCAAAAATTCTTTGGAACTCCCATGGAATTCCGACGGAATTCCGATAGAACCTCCAGGGGGCACTTTCTGGGGAATCTTTCCAAGTGGGTAATAATAATAATAATAATAATAATAATAATAATAATAATAAAATCTTGATTTAAAATATGTAGAATAAATTATTTTGTATGAATTTTTTTAAATTGCAAATTTGAGTGACAAATTGTGATAAGAAAAAAAAAAGAATATCGATTTGTCAATTAGGAACTTGACAGTAATTAATTTTCGCGAATCCATCTGAAAAGTTGAATAAATCTTGATCTGACTTACCGCACAAAGTCTTTGGAGGGAGGGAGGGGGGGAGGTAGAAACTAGCTTTCAGAAATAATGGAAGAAAGTTATTTCTGGGAGTTAAAAGCCACGGATCAAGGGAAAACCCTCTCTCTCTCTTTCTCTCTCTTTCGGTTCTCTTCTTTCATCTTATATAGGAGTCTTAGATGTTATTCCAGCACTTTCTTGTGATTTCTCTCCTTCACGCTACTTTTCTTACTCATTCCAGATTAGTTTCTTTTTCTTTATTTTATATATATATTTTTTTTTTTTGACTTATTTTCTATCCTCGGCATAAAGGTTTAATTTTATTTCACAATCAATGAATAATATAATTTTATTGATTTTATTTTTGGATTTATGTTTTATTATTAATTTATTTTTATTTATTTATTTTTAATTTATTTTTATTTTTATTTCTTTATTTTTAATATAAGTAGTAAAGAACGTTTCTGGTCAGACAAAGCATTTTTTTACTTTAAGTAGTACAAAATATTTCCAGTCAGACAAAACTGATTTTTATAAGTAGTAAAATGCATTTACGGTCAGACAAAGCACTGACTTAAGTAGTAAAAGGCAGTTTTGATCAGACAAAACATTTTTTTACTTTAAGTAGTAAAAGACATTCCCAGTAGGAGAAATCGTTAAATTTTTATAATTAGTAGTAAAAGATATTTCTTGCCAGACAAATCGGTATTTTTAGTTCAAGTAGTAAAAACAGTTTTGGTCAGACAAAACTTTTCTTATTTTAAGTAGTAAAAGATCATTTTGACCAGTCTTTTAAATAAGTCAATGGTTTTACTTTTAAAATGTGTAGTACAAATCAATTCCGGTCAAACAATTCTAATTTAATAAGAAATAAAAAAACACCGTTTAATTCAGCCAGAATGTTTTTTTTAGATATTTTTCATTTTTTTCAGTAGTAAAACCTAGATTTGGTCAGACAAAACGTTTAAAAACGGTTTTATTTTTAAAATCAGTAGTAAAAGTTATTTTTAGCCCAAGTTTTTTTTCAATTTATTTATAATAATACAAAATGTTTTCCATTTTTGTTCCTTTCTCAGTAGTAAAACCTACATGTAGTCAGACAAAACGTTAAAAAACGATTTTATATTTAAAATCAGTAGTACAAGGCAATTCCGGTCAGACAAATTGTTTTTAATTTAATTAGAAATAGAAAAAAAAACAGTTTTATTCAGCAAGAATTTTTGTTTTAGTATTCTTTTATTTTTTTCAATAGTAAAACCTAGATTTAGTCAGACAAAACGTTAAATATTTCGATTAATACAAAATGTTTATAAATTTTGTTCCTCTTTTAGTAGTAAAATCTAGATTTAGTCGGACAAAACGTTTAAAAACGATTTTACTTTTAAAATCAGTAGTACAAGTCAGTTCCGGTTAGACAAATCGTTTTTTAAGAAAAAGAAATTTTCAGTCAGACAGTAGGTTCTTAGTAATATTTTATCTTTTTAGTAGTAAAACATAGATTTAATCAGATAAAGTTTTAAATATCATTAATTGTAGTATCAGTAGTAAATGTCTGTTCCAGTCAGACAAATTTTTTTGTTATTTCCCCAAAATTTGTAATTTAATTTTCATTGGACAATCTCAATTAAGGTTTTGGTCAGACAAATTTTTTTTTTTAATTTTAAGTAGTAAAATACATTTTCAGTCAGACAAATCGTTAAATTTTTATAATTAGTAGTAAAAGATATTTCTTGTCAGACAAACCGGGATTTTTAGTTTAAGTAGTAAAAACAGTTTTGGTCAGACAAAACATTTTTTTTAATTTTAAGTAGTAGAATACATTTCCAGTCAGACAATTCGTTAAATTTTTATAATTAGTAGTAAAATATATTTCTTGCCAGACAAACCGAGATTTTTAGTTTAAGTAGTAAAAACAGTTTTGGTCAGACAAAACATTTTTTTTTAAATTTTAAGTAGTAAAAAAAAAATTTCAGTCAGACAAATCGTTAAATTTTTATAATTAGTAGTAAAAATTTTTATTTCTCGATATAAAAATAAAAAAAAAATTATTGTCTTACTAAAAGTGGCTTCTTCTACTACTTCATAAAAATTTGACTACTGGCGCAGTACTGATACGATTAAAATAACAATGATTATAAATCTCAACTAAAATCGATTCTCTTTTTTTTTTTGATCTCTTACAATAAACTTAAATTCACATTATGAAACTATAGAATTTTACCATCGACTTAAAAAAATTTAAAAACCGCTTTTCGACTCTCGTAAATAATTTATTATGCACTTGGTAAATAATTCTTTTATTTTTTTCGGGGTTTTTTTATATTTCTTTTTTTTTTCTTCTTCAAAACGTAAACTAGTCGATATATTTTATAAGTGGGGGGTTTTTTTTTGTCGGAAACAATTTAATTTGATGATCGAGTTAAGTGTCGCACCTCGTTATTTTCGCAGTGTGTGTGTGTGTGTGTGTTTGTTGATGTTGTAAAAGAGGAAGCTGTGATTTGGCACGCAGTCGTTAAAAGGTTTTACGAGAGGCAATTTTTTAAACCCAAAAAAAAGACAATATTCATTACCATAAAACAATTACACGTTGTTTCTTTGGCGGTTCAATTTTCAGACGACGACAATTTTCTCGCGGCAATATAAATATGCCCTGAGGACAATTTTTACATAAATTTCAAATTCATCATCTTTAACGAGTGTCACTTATAATTTGTTATGAATTATTATTTGCCAAAGAGAACACAAAAAATATTGTTTCAATGAAAAATAATTTTTCTTTTCCATAGAATTAGAAAAAAAAAAAAAATAAATAAAATTCTTTCTTATAATTAATATTTTTTAATTTGAAAAATAAAAAAATAATGAAATCGTGGGAACTAATGTTCAAAGCGATTCATTCGCTTAAATTGGAATAATTTTTTTCTATATATATATACAAAAGAGAGAAAGAGAAGAGCAAATGTGAAGTAAATCGGATGTACTTAGAGCGATCGCGTATCATGGATTTTAAATGCAATCTCACAATGATAGTCGTGCTTGAGAATTATTATGGGAGAAAAAAATAGAAGAGTCGGATTTGCAAGCGTATTATTCAAAACGTTTTCAATATCTAAAAAAAAATCCCTCGATGCTGCAAAAAAAAAAAATGAATGCAAAACTCGCGATTTCAAGTTACAATGAAAATTATCGTCCAATTATTTGAAGATTATTATTTTTTTATTTCAATATTAACAAATAGAAATATATTTTTTTGATAATTTTTTTATAAAAAAAATTTTTTTATTTTATTATTTTTTAAAATTTTTATTTAATTTCTTAATTTATTACAGTTACAAAATTTTTTTTTTATAAAAATTTTATTCTTTTTATCATTTAATTTTTTTTTCTGTTACAGGTACGTGGTAAAAAAAAATAGAAAACAAGATCTCAAACGTGAGTAGTGGAAAATTCTTATGAAATTTCTTATAATGTTTTTTGATTATTATATACACTGAAAAAAATTTTTTTTTTTGATTCAAATAAATATTAATTTTTATTAATTAATTATTTATTTCTATCAATAATAAATAATAAAAAAAAAAAATTATTTTATTTCAAATAATCGATTATTTATTTTAAATAAATATTTACTTGAAGCAAATAATTTTTTATTTGAATTAAATAGAATTTAATTGATAAATAATAATTATTTGATACAGATAAATATTTATTTGATAGAAATAAATAATTTTTATTACTATTTATTTCTATCAAATAAATATTTATCTGTATCAAATAATTATTATTTATCAATTAAATTCTAGTTAATTCAAATAAAAAAAATTATTTGCTTCAAGTAAATATTTATTTAAAATAAATAATCGATTATTTGAAATAAAATAAATTTTTTTTTTTATTTTGCAGTGTACAAGTTATATTTTTAGTCGCACTTTGCGAAAATCGTTTTGTGCATTACTGATAAATTATTCAGTTGCTTGTGACAGGTCGTAGAATTATGTTTCGAGAGATATTTCCGGGATAAGAAAATTATTACCTAATGTAGATCGAATTCATTGCGATTTTAATATTTAATGAACTTGCCTTCTCACAGACTTGTGTCTGACCAAAGCGTTGACTCAATACTACTTAGCGGTTATATCATATCACTCAAATAATTATAATTCAATTATCATTATAACTCGGAGATGAAATTTCAAATTTATTCCTTCTAATTAATAATTTCGTATAATTTTTTTTTATTTCATATTTATTAATTTTTAATTATTTTTTTTTTTTAATTTCAAAATTTGATAAATATTAATATAAATATTTATAGATAAATATTTTATAATTATTATAAAAATAATAATTAATTCCCTCATAATAATAATTTTCAATATTTAATTTCCCTCTATGTAAAAAAAATTTATATATTTTTTCTTTTTTTTTTTTGCTAAATAAAAATTCCGGAAATTAGAAAGAGAGCAATAATTTAAAAAAAATACCCACGTCCGGATATTCTTATATATAAATCCTTGAACTTCGTCTGCCTTCTAAAGTTCAATAGTCATCGTGGTTTTCAAGAAAGATTAACTGCATTTTTCCGACCTCGCAATGCGGGTTTAACCGTTATACTTTTACGGCGCCATAAAACGTGGAAAAAAAAATTACCAGTTCATTCACGTTGTACGGACGTAAAAAAAAAAAAAAGAATACACTTTATATACCTTGGTTATACGCACACGTTGGTGCGTAATATAAATGGTCCATCATATCATTATATATATCTATATAGAATATTTACGTTATATTACGTCATTGTATGTAAATTACGTGACATGTGCTTTGCAACTTTATAATGTCGTGAATTTTGAATGCGTGCATTTAACATTTTCATATTTTACATCGTATATATATATATATATATATTTATACACGTTATTATATATAAACGAAATAACTGATTTTGTGAACGTCGTCGACAAAAGCGCTATTACGCATATTTGTATTGTGTGTAATGTAATTATAATTTTTTTTTTAAACTCAAATTCATATTCCACTCACGTAAATTGCAAATAATATACGAGTGAAAATTTATTTATTTTTTTTTTAAATATTATTTTTCGCGCCTATTTTTGTATTTTGTTTCCCATTGCAAAAATTGACCCTGAATTTGCACTAATTTTAGGTCAAAATTCTTTCCCTGTTTGGAAAAAACATTTTTAATATTACCTTTATTGAAAAAAAAAGTTTTATAAAAGAACGGCAACGTAGCCGTGTGGTCAGAGTACCCGACTCGCGTTCCAAGGGTCCCGAGTTCGATTCCCCTTGCTTGCAAGATTTTTCCAAATTTTCCTCAAGTAATTCTGTCTCAATTTCAGTAATAATTTATAATAAGGATAATAATAATAGTAATAATAATAATAATAATAATAATAATAATAATAATGGTAATAGTAATGACGATAATGATAATAATAACAGTAGTAAGAAAATAATAATAAATAATGTAATAATAAAAATAAATAGATTAATGATGATAATGATAACAATAACAATAGTAAAAAAAATAATAGAATAATAAAAATAAAAATGATAATGATAGTAATGATAATGATAACGATAACGATAAAAATAGTAATAATAATAATAAACAATAGAATAATAAAAATGATAACGATGATAATGATAATGATAATGATAATGATAATGATAATGATAATGATAATGATAATGATAATGATAATGATAATGATAATGATAATAATAACAATAGTAAAAATAATAATAATAAATAATAGAATAACAAAAATAAAAAAGATAAAAAATAAAAAAAATAAATTAATAATAGAATATAAATTAGAAACAAAAAAAAATATATATAAAATAGAGAAATTAAAAAAAAAATTGAAATAATAAATTGGAAAATTAATTCAAGACGTAATTCAAAAAGGAAAATAATGAAAATCGTATATTGAGATGGGGAAAATGAGGGGATATTTCGAAGTTGAAGGCGCGTTACAAATTCGCATTCAGACAATGACATATCGTTCTATTTAACATTTAACAAAGCTCATTGAGAAAGCAATCAAAACTTAGGCCGAACTCCATGGATCTTTCCTTTGCAATATATATATATATATATATATATATATATATATGTGTGTGTGCTAACGTCATCCAAACGCTCCTTATTTACCTTTCCATTCTCTCTAATGAAGAAATAAGTTTGATTAATTTATTTTTCATTTCAAATTATTATTGGAAATCGAATTCACGTTCAGGGGATCATCTTAATTACTGACTTCCCCTTTGGAAAAAAAAAATATATATACGATAAATTAATTACGAGAAATATTTGCATTTAACCAGCTGTTTTACCATATTCTGTCGTCTTTGCTATCTCTGACAAGTTGATTAGCATCGCAGAAATTCTTAATTAATTCGTTGCTAAAATTTCAGTTCTATAATTATTATAATTTACTTTTTTTTTACTATTTTCTTGCTTTATTATATTTCTGCAAAAATTATAATAAATTATTACAAATGAAAAATGTAAATAACAATTTTAATTTATAATTATTTAATTAGTAATTATTTATTTATTTATTATAATAATGTAACATTGATAGATATTATCTTTTTACATGAGATAAGTTAATAATTATTTGGTTAATGATAAAATTAATATATAATAAATTAATTAGTAATTAATAGTAAATAATTATTTGATTAATATTAATATTAATTAATAATTATTTAATTAATTTATTTTATTTATTTATTTATTCAATTTAAATTCCTAGGGCTGAAAGCCCTTCAAAGAACAATTACAAAGTGTTAAATTTATAACATAATTATTATATAACTATACAACTAAAATATAACCAAATATTATAGAAAAGAGAAAAAAAAATTATATAAATTTTAAATAATTAAATTTTTAATAATTATTAGTTAATAGTTATTTAGTTAATAATAATTTTAATTAATAATTATTTAGATAATAATAATTTTAATTAATAATTATTTAATTAATAATAACTTTAATTAATAATTAATTTAATTAACAATCATTTTAATTAATATTAATTTTACGATTTTTATTTATTTAATTTTCATCAAAAATAAAACAGAGCAATTCATTTATTATTGCCCAACACTTCAAATTGAGTTATTTTTCGATTTTTTTCTGTTTTTTTTTTTCGTTTTACATTTTAGTTCAATTTGTATTAGCGGAGTGAAGCGAATTTATAATGAGAATCGGAAACGATAGGTTGCTATATATATATATATATATATATGAACATGAGCGCCCAATTCATATACATCTAGACTTGTAGACTAGCTTGAAACAAGAGTGGAACGATTTAAAATGTAAATAGAGACATAAATATTACATTTCCATTTTTACGCCGCTTTAACTGTGTCGTGCAGCGATCGTCGGGGTATAAATTGAAAGAACAATGTTCTGATTTTTTTTTCCCACCCACCAAAAAAAAAAAAAAAAAAGTTGCTCACACTTCCTGCGAAAAACACGCCACGTAATATATATATTTTTTCCATTCCCCAACACAATAGAAAACTGCAACAAATTTTTTTTTTATTTTTATTATCATTATTATTATTACTATTATTACACTTATTACTATTATTACTATTATTACTATTATTATTATTATTATTACTATTGTTGTTATTATCAATTTTTTTAATTGATACAAAATATTTTTATTTAAATATTTAAAAATAGTTATAGTACAATTTTTATTATTATTATTATTATTACTATTACTGTTAACAATTAAATTGTAAATAATTGGAATAATAGAAAAATTACTATTAATTTAATAATTAAATGAATTAAAATTTTTAATTTGTTTTAATAATTAAGATCAAAAAAAAATTAATTCATTCTAATTTGAAAAATATTCAATTATTGGAGAGAAAATAAAGATAAAAATTTTTTTTTTTAATTGAGTTTATCGAGAACAAATAAAAATGTTACGACATGACAAAAAATTTGTCAATTTTTAAATTCAATGATGAAAGTCCTTTTGTCGTGTGTTTCAATCAGGAATTTTGAATGTAATTCTGTGTGTATAGATGTGCGTTGTATATATTTATATAAATATATATATATAGTTGACGGCATGCGCAACAGTTCTACGAACTGAATTAGGGACAAAGTTCTCTGGCAACAAACAAATAGACACTAATGCTGCTGCAAAGTGAAAATTATCCACATGAATTTTAGATAATGTTCACGCGTTAAGACGAGCAACTCCCCAAACAAAGTAAAACGCACACTTAGTCTCTGCATTCACTTTAATGTGTTTACTTCGCTCTTGCAGTTCATAATTTTGCCATTCCGTAATTTACATCTCTCTCTCTCTCTATCTCACTCTCAACACAATAATAATCATGAATCATAAATGTTTAATCTCTAACTT